ACAGCTGCGATGGCTTGGCCATGTGTTGCGAATGCCTCCAGAAAGGAAGGCTAAGCAACTGTTCCTTGCATATCCAACCGGCAAAGGCCAGGGGACGGCCAAGATTAACGTATTGCCAATAATGGAAGGAGTCTGTTCCAGACTCGATTTGTTTTTTGCCGAAGCTCAGACTCTGGCATAGGATCGGGAACGTTGGAAGCACTATCTGACGCGTCTGCCTCCGCGACCCGAAAGGGGAAGCGGCGATGGAAGATGAAGATAGAATCGAAACAACTGACGGATGCTCAGACATTTATTCTATCCAGGTGGAATGATTTTGTGGCAACTAGCGTCGTTTCAGACGCAATCCGATAAGAAGAGAAAACGTACTTCATCTGCAACTGGTATGAAGGATGAACGCGCATGCAGTGACGTATACATAGCGAGTGTCAGGCAGGAAAAACAGTTAAACTCAATGCTTAACGCCAAACTATAATTATCAACAATTTTCATTACCATATGCATGTAGTCATCGAGATACTGTTGTACAACCCTGAAAGTAACCCGGGTTCCGCGTTGATTAACAGTTTTATTAATAACAAATCAATACCGCGCCAGATTTACCTGCGCGCCAAATTTACCGGGCCCATGTGCCTCCTGGAAGTCAGCAACCAGCCGCATGTAAAATAGACGAACGATCTCTCTACCTGACTTGAAGATGAACATCAGCAGATAACGATGAATTTTCATCGTTTAGTATTTAGTTTGCCTATGACTTAAAATCAAAGGGTGCCCGCGATATCCTGGTAGAAATTCGTGTACATAGTTGGAATGTGAGTAGACGTCAATGAAAAGCAACTAGCGTACCAAACAACTTTAATAATGCGGTTCGTCAAATTTTTCTGAATCAAACAAAAAACTCAAGCTATCGAAGAACTCACTGTTCTTCCAGATGATGTGAGTTATTAAAAAGGCCAGAAAAAACGAATCAATGCACCTTCTGATACTGTTGTCGGCGTCCACCTAAACGAATACAGTAATTGAACAGATAATTGTCGATTAGAAATAGGTAAATAATTAAAGATAGATTTCACAGGAAGAAACAAAACGAACCTCTGTCGTCTTGCGGGTTATTCTGCGACCGCTGAATGCCCCAATTGAAACCGACCGTGCGTGAACCAGGACCTAAAACCAGGTGATGCAGTGTTACTTCAAAAAAGACTTTTCAGAAGAAAGTTCAAACAATCGTAAATAAGGAAAACGTCGCCTCAGCAAGCATACGAAAAGCAACACGGCAAATAACAATTGCGCATGCATGGTTACTTATGGTCTGCTCGACGCTGTCGGCCAAATTGTTCAGCTTTTCGGTCAGCTGCAAAGCGAGGGTCTGTAGACGACTTGGCTCAACGCGATGCATCACGATACACTGTGCTGGTTCGTCAAGGCTCGCGGACAGCTCCTCTTCGATGATCATTTTGCTAGAAAAATAATGAAACTCTGAATGGTGGCGGAATTCACTGACACAACATTCACCTTATTATAGCATGAACCGATTTCTTGTCCAATTGAAACATATCGGCAAGTTTGATGAGAGAAACTGAGTCGTAGAGAGAAGAGTAGGTGAATAAATAGGTTTTCAAACTTCCTTCCTGAATGTGCCGAACGACCATCTCCTTGACGCGATCGCTGTTCTGGAAAAGATTCCACACCTAAATATAAGCGTAAGAAACATGCAAAACTAGTGTTTTAAGCAAGTAGAAAAAAGCTTGCAAACAAATGCAAACCATCTCAAACCATATACCCGAGCAGAACTATTAAGCCAACAAAAGGTATCGCTTTTTACTTGGAGTTACATAAGTAACTGGTATGCGTGCATCAATAATCTTGTTGGATACTTCATTTGGACATAACTTTAAATCGACATCTATTTTTTCCGGAGTCGAAAATACTCAGATGGCCCCCTAAAATATTATACGCAATGGTGGACTAGTTAAAATGCTATAATTCCAGGAAATCCGGTTTGGTAATTACGCAGTCAGCAGCATACATCCAGCGGATGGGTTCAACTGTTCGACAGTGCTCGTAAGGTAAAGAATAGTACTCTCTATGAAATCTCATGGATGAACCACCGCTCTGCCATCATCTCGCCTTTACAAATATACCTTTGCATTCATTTTGGGATTAATTATGAAGTCTCGACACGCTTCCCAGTCACCATTCAAAAGTGCCCTGGAAGCTGCCACGACATGTTCACGCGTATTCTCCGGAGGACCAAGCAAACACTGCCGTTCAGACTGCTTCAGCTGATAGTGAAACGAACGACTTATAAGACGACGTCGAACTTCGAATTCCTTTGCTAAAAAATATGAAAACAGCTGAGTAACAAACAAAATCGAGCATGAAATACACTATTACATGATTGTAGAACGAGAATACAACGAAAAAGATCGCTTTGCAGCTTCAACAGAAACAAACTACCTCCAGTTCATGAATAGCGTTTTCCATTAAGCTTCCAGGCAAAATTAATATGGAGAAGCCAAGACAAAAGGTCTTTGAACCAAAGTCACTATGCACTGAAGAACAACAATCATAATATCAGACATGTCGATCATAGGCGAGAACATCAACTGTACAGGGTCAGTCCATAGGCTGATACGTTCCACAGCTATGACGGATATCGCAAAAGAGAAACGCATTAAAAAAGATAATAGATCACTTCTTTGTGAAGAACTACAACTCGATCAAGAAACTTTCGCAGGGAATTTCATCTCATACGTTCTGAAATTATGTGCATAAATCAATCTTAACAGCACTATCAGTGTAAAAATCTCTAGTTGGATTTTAATCTAAAGTCATTAAGAACAAAGTATTTTGGGTAATTGCTCATGCAGCTATCGTCAGAGAGGCCGGCTGATAATTTTTTGATGCAATTTCGTTGTTTTTTACTTGTCAGCTAATTTGTATTAAGTGTTTTAATTTTAAAAGCAAAACTGCTTGGCGGTCATGCAGAAGCAATACATTTCATACTTTCTGTTGTTAATCCATCTATTAACTTCAACATTTCGCCGTTCCCTTTAAGTTCTTGTTACAGCACTTTCAAGACGCTTTTTTAATGGTTGCAATCGTCTGCCATTTGGGCAAACTTAAGGGCTGGATAACAATGTCTGTCTAACAATTTCTGATATTTGTCAAAATTTGTGCTGTCCCATTTTAACTTTAAATTTAAAGCTGGTTTACCGATAAGTTCAGCGGCACCTGATTGGCTGCCGCGTATGAACAACAGGAAATGTATTCGTTAAATTAACACTATAAATCTAATAATAGTATAAAAGCGCAGATGAATACAAAAACCATACTCACATGCCATTTGGGGAATTTCAAGCAACATTGCACAGATCAAGTAGACACATTCCGTCAGCTCAAGATTGATATGCATGTGGTACGGTATTCGACGCTGTCTCTCGAGCTTTTCCTGCTCTGCAGTTTTATCCTGGTTGCGCATGACCATGCCCTGAAAAAACGCACTTTACACAGAATGGTAAATCGCGGATCTCGATGTACCTGTGCCAGCAGTTCCTTCGCCCTACCGCCGTTCTGCAGCTCTGACAGTGCGTTATGCGCTTCTCTGATAAAACCGTGCCGAAATGCGCAGAGCCCCAACTGACAAATAGCGCGGTTGTATAGCACCTAAAAAGAAACAACTGTTTGACATAAAATAATCATAAGATCGCAAGCTGTGTAAAGATTAAATACATTTTATCATCTAATCCATTTCTGACCTGCAAGCTGAATCCGCGGTACAAAGTCTACATGTTCTAAATTTCATAAAACTGAATTTTATTAATAGTGACTTAAGTGAGAGAATAGCAGTGTAGGTACTTCTTAGAAATATTTAGGTTTTCGATATACTGCAAAGCCAGTCGGTTTGACGTTCCGTAACCTGCTGTTCTTAAGTATAACATCCAAGAAGCTAATCTGGTCTATGCTCTCTTTCTCAATGGCGAAGGTGATTCCACTTGTCTTGTCAAGGTGACAAAGAACTTTAAGCTAACTTTGTCCTAGAAACAAAGCGTCTTAAACGGTGATATGAGAGAAGCAAAAAAAGCTATGAAATAACAGTTAAGTTATTAACCTATTGATTGACACAGAATTAAAGCCGAGCCAAACTTTATCCCCTGCCCAAAGGATAGATGACGGAACGCAATCACTGCCTAAAAGATAAATCGA